ACACACACACACACACACACACACACACACACACACACACACACACACACACACACACACACACACACACACACACACACACACACACACACACACACACACACAGGTCAAGCAACAACAAACAATACAGAGAGAAGAGACAAATATTTGTTTATTGGCTGTTTTTCCTCTTCCTCCTCTGTACTCAATGGGGAGACAAGAGGAAAAACATTGAAGCGCTGTAGCCTGCGAGGCTTTTCTGCTTTAAAATCTCTAGCCGTTACCGCCGTGACACAAACGATTTCCTTCAGTGGCAATCTGGAACAGCAAGGCAAACAGGTTAATAAAACACACGTTATAGAGACATGCAGAGGAGCATAAAAAGCTTGTTAAGTAGGAGTGACGGTGATACTGTTCATGTGAAGTGGCAAAGCTTTTGCAAACAGATCAGCAGTGGGTTGCTATAGAGATATGAATTGATGTGAGAACGTTTAAGGTGATATTTAATGGTACTAAAGTTAAATTGTGACCAAGATTAGCTTGTTTACATCAGCCTTCTAACGTTTCTAGTCTTAAATTAGTTTAATTCCATAGAACGTGCATTATATTTTGTGTGAGAAAGCATGGCAAAAGTTCATAGCATGACAAATAAAGCTGTGAAATATATTATAAAAGCAGGATTCTAAATGTATTAGTGAGAAAAATCTAAGAGTTTTAAACCAATGCGACTCAATCATCCTTTTCCAAACCTCTCTGTCCCTTGCACTCTGCCTCTCTCTGTCCTTCTCCTCTTCTTTGACCTTCTCCCTGCGCTGCCGCTCCTCCTCCCTCCCCCTCTGGGCGGAGAGGGCCTCTGCCCAGGCCTGAGCTTCTCCTGAGGCCAGGTGGAAGGCCCTCTGCAGCTGCTGCAGCTGACCCAGGAGCTGCCGGCTCTGCTCGGGGGCCAGGTCCTGGGCCCGCTCTGAGATGAACACCTGGATGTCAAAGGCAGTGCTGTTGACCTCACTGGAGCGAGCGGTCAGAGAGGCCTGGAGCTCCTTAAAGAAAATAAACAAGAAAGAGTGAAATTCAGTACAAACATTTATTTCGTTTTTTTCGTACGCTGAGCTAGAAATCTTCCCTTCAGTAGCACTTACATACACTAACTTTTCCAGTTTGTTCATAAAGGATTCAAAGCATGATTTATTTATTCACTTATTTCTAAAAACTTAGCAGAATTTGATTTGTTTCATGGGTATTTATTGATATAGGGAGGTATAAAAGGAGATATCGAAAATGTACTCTTTGAAAACCTTTGTTTTAATACGTTAACAAAAACAAGCAATATGATTTTGAGCCTTGCTTTGTCCAATGTTCTGAATTCTCTTCGGTAATGTATGGAAATTAGCACACATCTAACAAGAGAATGCCTCATTTGCATAATCAACCATAATATTTCAGAAAACTTGTAGTTAAAAAAAAACTCTATTAAGGTAACTAACCAACTTAGAAAGTTACAGGACGATAGCTTTTAGTTTACTTTATTGACCTGTCATGGTGTCACCTCAACCTCAAACTGCTTTTAATTTAATTGAATGTAGTCTAATTAAAGGAATAGTTTTGCAACACTGACTTAGCATTTCAAGTGTAAAAAAAAACCGTTTGGGTCATAATCTAATTTAAAAAGGAAGAATAAACATTTACTTCGGATCGGACAGAACTTGCCTTGCAGAGATTCAGCTGCTGTGTTAGCTGATCACTATGATCTTCTTTCTCTGCCGTCTCCATTTTGTCCATCCCCGCCATTCCACCACTCATCTGAGCCTCTGTCTCCCTCAACCAAGAGAGCAGATTCTCCACTCGTCCTCCCAGGGACTTCTGCTCAGCTGTTACTGCCTCCTGAGAAACGTCACGGTGAATCAAATCAGACATCTTCACTTAAGAAATTAAGTTCTTCTAGAACCAAAAACGATAATCCTTCGCAAAAACCTATGCCTATTACTTAAGAATAATGTTTTCAAGTAACCTTAACAACAAATAAGCACCTAATCTGGTTTGCTCAAGACTGATATTTTTACCTTATATGAGTTTCTATGGTCTCGTAGACTTTGCAGAATGCCCTCAGAAAGTGCCCTGGCAGCCTCATACCCACGGGCCAGGCTCCGCCCATCCTTCTCCAGAGCCAATAGGAGCTGCGGAGGAACGTCTTTAGGTCGGGGCTTCAACAGTTCTTCAGCAGCCTCCACCTGTTTGGTGACTGCAGGCTCCAAGTCACGCAACTCAAGGTCCAGAGTCTGAGAGGCAGATTAGGAAAAGAAAACAAAAGTTTTCTTGATGCCGTTTGCTAAGAGGCTTTAATCCTTCAATCCACTTTTTTGTCAAGGAACAAAGTACACAACTGAAACTGCAAAATAATTAAAGTGTCAAAAATGTACGATTATGTTGGTTGGCATCACATTAATATGACAGGACATCTCTATCAGGTAAGTATGCTCATTGTTTTACCTCAGTCTGTGTGATGATGTCGTCCAAGGCGATAAGGCTGCGGCCAACAGACTGCTGCTGCTGCTGTTTGAGTCGGACCTCGATGTGTCTTACCATGGACACCAGGGCTACAATTTGCTGGTCATGGTCCAAGCACTCTTGCCGCATCAATGATGACTGTGGAAAAGGAAAAACATACAATAAAACACAATTAAATGTGTATACATTTAAGCAGCAGAAAGTTCCCTCTACAGTAATCCATATCGTTTACAAATCATTAGCTTCTTCCAGTGTTTGGATCCTTTAACTTTACGTTCAAGGATGTTTAGTTTCCACCTGATCCAAGAGGCTTTTTAAGGAGTTTGTTTCCCTTAAGTAGTAAGATAATGTTCTCAACACATAAAGGAAGTCTTTAATGTTCAATTTATCAGAAATATTCACATTCCAAATCACAACATTTGGAGATACATTGTTTGGACTGGACAAAAGCAGTATGGGAAATGTAGTTGAGTATTAAATACATTTGAGTCTAACATGTAGTAGAGTGCAATAACATTGCATGATGAAATGGAAATACTCAATGAAAGAACCTCTAATGTGTACTTAAATAAACATACTGTACTTAAATTCTACCAGTGGCTATCTTACCTTGCTGGTCATGGATGTCACCCCTTCTTTTTTGGCCACTATCTCTCGGCTTTCACTGACATCGTGCTCTCCTTCCCCCCAACTCTCAGAGGTTGAGTCAGACTCAGGGACTCCAAGAGATTCAGACTCTGTTGAAGTATCTTCTGAGAGTGAAGGTGCTGATTCTTTAGACTCAAGATGTTGCTGTTGTTCTTTTAGAGTGTTTGATTCTGGAACATTGCTGCCATCAACTCCAGGTGGTTGGTGCCTTCTCTTCTTTCTGCTTTTCCCTACTGTTTTATCTGGTTGTGTGCCAAGAACCACAGATTGACTTGGGGGTTGAATGTCTGGTTTGCATGCAACAGCTTTTTGAGTAATGTCTATGGATTTGCCAGCAATGTTGGTTTCTGATTGGGATTCTTCTTTACCTATAGACGTAACCCCTGCCGATTGTGTTTGTTCCTCGATGTTAGGATTGAGTTCTTCTGATTTACATAAATATGTGGGACTGTGTTGACTCGTCTTAGCTGCTTTACCGTGAATTAAAGAGGTCCTCACTTCATTTGCCTCATCACCAACTGAGGGTCTAGTGAGATCACTGGCCGACTGACTCAGATCAGTTTGTTTGTCCATCCGCAGTTCTGCTGTTAAGTCATCTAAATCTGATATAGCCATTGCAGATTTTGTGGTAGTTTGCGTCACCTCAGAATCCACTTTCTCATCAGGCAGTACCTTCTCAGTATCAGCCTCTGTCACTTTAGGAATCTTGGACTTCTTGTTCTTCTTTCTTCGCTTGCTTTGCAGAGTTTCTTTGGACTGGACTGATGGAGCAGCATTAATATCTCCTTCTCCAAAACTGCTGCCCTCCTCTCCCTTAGTTGAAGAAGCTTCACAAAGTTGGGTATCCTCCTTGTCAAAAATGTTCTCTATCGTCTTATCCTCTGTGACCATCTTCTCTTCTGCACTCTCGTTTGGTGAACCATTGGTTCTCTTGACACCATCATCTCCGACACCATGACTCTCCACTAAATCAGCTTTAGTTGGTTGAGTTTGTGACTTGACAGTCTTTCCTTGACTCCCCACCTCCTTGCGTAGTGCCTGCAGCTCCTCAGCAGCCTGCTTTTCACTCACTCCTTTTTCAAACACCTTTTTAAGAATGCTCTCTTTGGCTTTCATTAGCAAGGCTGCTTTCTCGTTGTTTGGTAGAGTAGATTTCTGCGGCAATTCATGCTCCTTTCCTTTCTTGACCTCCTGACTGCTCTCTGATTGTTCTGGTTGCTGAGAGACTGATACCATATTTTCAACATTTTCTTTCTGCCTCTCCCTTTTACTCTCCTCTTTCATATCAGCCTTTTCTGCACCTTTTGATAATGTCTTTTTTAATGTATCCTTCTCTGCCTCAATAGTATTTTCTGTGGATTGCTGAGCGGCTGGAACTGATTCCTGTTCCTGTTTAACCAAATCCTTTTCAGATTCAATCTTTTCACCTATCTTTGATTCACTTTCTACATTGGAAGGCCCAGTAGAATCTGACGGACCATGAATCTTTGATTTCTCACATTTGTCTTGTGTTGCAAGCTTATCTGAGACAATTTCAGTGGTCTCAGGACGCCCTTGAATATGTGTATCATCTTGATGAATTTGAGAAGACTGCGTTATCTCTCGAGCGTGTGTTTCTCTCTCTGCTTCTTTACCCTTTCCATTCTTTTTATTCTTCCTTTTTTTCTTGCTTTTGCTTTCTGTGTCTTTGGATGGAGAGGTCAACTGGTCTGACTGCTCAGCATCAGGGCTGCATTCCATGTCTACTGGTTTGTCTTTCTCTACTTGTTTAACCTTCTTATCCACAACTTTATCTCTCTTTATCGCCACACCACTCTTTCTGTAATCCTCTTCACTCAATGTTGATACTTCAATTACATCTTTGCCTTCCCTGTTATCTCTAACCTCTGCTGCCAGGTTTCCATCTTCAGAATCACGATTAATCATTGATGTGCTCTCATCATTGGGTCTACTCTTCTTTTCCCCTACTTTCACAGGTTCGCCATCTGACTTTGAAACAGCAGCACCTTTTATGACCTCTGCCCGTGAGTTTTTGTCAATATCACGGTCATGTGCCTGAACGTTTTCCTTTTGTTTATCACGAGTCTCACTCGCACCTATTTGCATACTTTTTTGATTAGGAAGAGGCATTGATTGTTTGATGTTTTTCTGTGGTACAATCTCTTCTATGGCTTCCTGTATTCTTTTCTCAACATTAGTTGCAAACTTACACAAGAGGTCTATGGATTGGTCTGGCTCAATTGAAGCCGCTTCTTCCACAGACACTGGCACTTTTTCTTCTTCTGTAGAAGGTTGGTTAAGCAGTGACTGATCTGGTTCTACAGATGTGAATGTCTTTCCATTGTCCTGTGTAATTCCTAAACCTTGCTTTGAAAATTGAGATTTTGAAGGCCCCTCAGTATTTACGCACGACGAATTTGCTGGACTATCAGGGCTTGACACTGACAATATAACAGCAGGGCTGTATGCACCACTTGATGAGGTAACAGGTGTATCACTACCTTCATTACCCTTGAGTGCAAAAGAAGCCAATCTCTCCTGAATCTCTGAAGCTACGTCATTAGGTATCAGTCGTTTCGCAATGGCCTCGTTGAAAGAAGAGACGCGTTGTCCAGTTGCAGGATCAACCAAGCCTCCTTTCAAAAACTGGTTGGTGGCAATTGTTCTGACCATACTGTCTTCAATTAAACCTCTTTCACAGGCTTCATATAGGGGAAGCCTATCTCCAGTTCTGATATCAATGATCCCTCCACTGTCTGCCTGGCTTTGAAGCAGCCTCAATGCTGGAACCGGGTCAACTTTTTTTGACGCAACGGCCTCAGGAAGGGTCAAACTGTCTCCTGTTTCCTCATCTGGAACACCTCTGAATGGTTTTACCTCCAAGAAACGTTTGCCTGTTTCAATATCTATTTTACCCTGGTTTACAAGCTCTGAATAAGGCACAATACGTGCAGTTTCAGGGTCAAGCACCCCTTGTGCTACAGCAGGAGAAGCCATGGTTTCACTAGCAATATTCTCATCTAAAAGACCCATAGAAACAGCCTCTGTCAATGTCAGTTTACATCCAGACTCAGGGTCTAAAATGGCTCCTGTTGATGCCTGGAAAAGTACAGCTTCTGGGTGGGATGAAGGGCTGACTTTTCCTTGGTAGACCCACTCTAGTTCTTCCAGCCCAGGAGCAATGGACCGATCCACTAAACCTCTATCTACAGCATCAGGGACTGAAAGCCTCACACCTGAAGCATGATGTATTACACCACCCTCAGCCACCTGCCTTGCCAAAACTTGATAAACATCCTCAGATCTAATTAACCCTTTCTGGATTGCCTGCTCGAGAGGCACTGGAGACTTGGACTCTGGGTCAATAATACCTTCCATCTGTAGCTGTAAACTGGCTTTAGTAAGGGTTTTTGTTGAATCTGAATCCTTTCCTTTGTAAGCCTTCTCTAGTGCAACTAGTTCTTCTCTTTGGCCCTCCTCAATCAATCCCAGTGTTGCTGCGAGAGTGACAGAGACTTTCTTATCCCTACGAAGGTCAACAATCCCTCCAGACGCCACCTGGGCTTCTAGAAGTCGAGCAGCGGTGTTGGGGTCAATCAGCCCTACTTGAGCAGCCTCGCTTACCCCGCGGATCTGCCTTTTTTCTACATCCACAACCCCTGAAAGGGTCTTATCTGACTTCAGGACACTCCACATTAGATCTTCATCTAGTAAACCCTCCTGCATGACATCTTCCATGCTGAGTGACTCACAGCTGCTAGCATCTAGAAAACCTCCAAACAGACCTGCATGCGCCATTAATTTAACTGCTGTGTGACCAGGAAGGACACCCTGTGCTACTGCCTCATCTGGGAGAAGCTTTTCCCCTTCCTCTGTCATCAGACCTCCCTGTTTGAGCTGGAGGACTAACTTTGCCAATTCAGCATCCTCCCCTTCCATCTCCCCTGCTGAATCTTTATCAAACTCTTTAGCATGCTTTGAGTGAGTCGCTTTTTTAGGAATTGTTATATTTAGTTTAATCCTTTCTGATTCAGTCTGGGAATATTTTACATCTTTCTCATAGTCAGATTGTTTTGGTTTAACATTTTCATTTGTTTTTGCTCCCGGTTGGATTTGTTCTTTCAATGTTTTGAGTGGTTCTGTAGCTGTTTTTCTAGCTACTGTTGAGGGTGTACTAGTCTTTTGACCATCCGTATCCCTTGGTTTGAACACCATTGCTTCAAGCTCATTTTGACCTTTAATATTTTTAGCTGAAGCCATCAAAGCTTCATGATCAGACATTTCTTTCTTTTGAGCTTTCAATTTTGCATTTGTATCCACACGCTTTTCATTTGTTGCTGCTAAACCACTCCCATCAACAACTGGTGGTTTGTGGAGCAATTTATTGTCATTCTTTCCATTATACCTTTCTTCTAGACTTCCTGTACTAATTATCACAGCTTTTTCATTCTGGACTACATCAGAACTTCCTTCTTCAAGCTCAGCGTGTCTCAAACTCCCTCCTTTATCTGCTGAACTGAACTTACTCTCCATTTGCAGCTTCCCAGTCTCATCTGTAGTCAACATGCTTTGTGGCTTAACTGTACTTTCATATACAGAGTCTCCAGCAACCAGTTGAGTAGCTTTGACCAACTCTACCAACTCAGGGTCAAGCAGCACCAATCGATTTCCAGAATGGGCATCCACATAGCTGTGAGTCATAAGGTGAAGCAGAAGATTTTGTTTTGCTTGCTCTTCAGGATTCATTCCATGTTTAAGTGCTGTTTCCAAGTAAACACCTGAAGGAGAGGTTGAAGGTGTTGGAGATGATGGTGGTGGAGAGGAGCTTGTGGAACCCCAGCTCAAGCGGTTTGGAGATGGGGTACCCAACTGGTTCATGCTCGAAAGAACATCTGGGAAGTGGATGTCCTTGAGAAAACTGACCACACTTGGCTCAAGGGCCTCTTCAGCAGCCTGATTTAGGGGAAGGACCTGGAGGTTTTCAGGGTTGTACAAGGCCCCAATGGCATGTCGCTTCCTTAAGATGTTTCTAGAAAGCTCTCCTGAGATAACTCCTTGTTGAATAGCTTCAACAATTGGCAGGATTTCTCCAGATTCAGGCCTGAGTATACCCATGAAAGCCCAAAGAGACTCAAGGACTAATAAAGCCAAGCGAGGAGAGAGAAGATCCCTGTGGATGCTCTCGTCCAAGCTCAGCCGTTCTCCATTGTAAGGGTCTAGAATTCCCCCATTTTGCAACTGGCGTGCTAACATGGCACAGGCTAGATCCTGGTCCATAAGCCCATGGCGAACAGCCTCATCAATTGTCATCCTGTGGCCAGATCGTGGGTCAGAAATACCACCGGCAAGGAGTTGAGCTTCAAGAAGTCGTACAGTTACTTTCCGATCAATCAGACCTTCCTGGACTGCACGGAATATGCCAACTTTTGTTCCAGTACGGAGGCAAACAGTTCCTCCGGGTTGCTGTTTGACAGGGAGTAGAAGGAGACCAGGGTGGTCATCACAGACACAGCGCTGTTGAAGCTCATTCAGATTTAATTGTTCTGCTGTGTTTGGATCGATCAGCTCTTTATTATGTTGCCTTGACTGGAGTTTGGAAAGGGTTCTAGAAGTCAAAAGTCTCTTTTGGTCCGCTTGCTCCAAACTCATGAGATCTCCGACTGAGTTTCTCAGGCCTCCAGTGTTTAACTGGAGTTCTAAAATGCGAAGTCCCACATCCTCTCTGATGAGCCCAAACTCGATGGCTGTGGCAACTGGCAACACAATTTGTGTTCGGTCATCTGTAGACTTAGTATTTTCCACCAACAGCAAGGCAGTTTCTAGCTCAGAAAGGGATTGTTGATAATGGGTGTCAATTAGACCTTGAGCCAGACCTTGTTCCAGTGAAAGATTGAGAGGGGAGTCAGGCTTAAGGAGCCCACCCATAATGAGCTGGGCCTCCAACAGTACATGGCAGGTGTCCTGGTCAATAAGGCCTCGTTGGGCTGCTTTGAACACTGGGAATGTTTCCAATGTTACCAAGTCAATAACTCCAGCAATGGCACTCTGGTTCTAAAAGAATAAAGAAAAACGGAATTCGAGTTGACATTCATTCTTCTATGAGCAATGTGATATGACAACTTAAGACAGCCTATGTACTATATTATGTTACAAGGTTATTATACAGAATTAAATTATACATTATGAAGAGAATTAGATGGTAGAATCAGAAAAAGTAAGAAAACCCACAACCATTTGCCACAAAAGCATAAAAAAGGATAAATTATGTATATGTGGCAAGATACTTATGAGTACATTTTTACAGGAATCTGAATGTTTTTCCCAGTATTTGCATGTCTTTCTTATATTAAGAAGCACTCTAATACTTACCACTGCTATTCTAACACAAGCACTAAGCATGCAACAAAGCAACTAGAAACAAAAAAGGCAGAAAAATACAGCAATATTCAGAAGTACAGTAGAATAGAATTGTGAAAAAAACGTACATGCAACGGTAAGAGAGAAAGCGAGCACTACTTACTGTGAGGGCTTGTCCCGTGGCACACACATTAATGGGCCAGCTTATGACTCGGCAGAGCGAGGCGCGACAGGTGAGAAGCTGGTTGTTAGCATTCGGCATGCCACTCTTCATTATGACTCCTATCACTGCACTGACACTAAAACCTACTGATGACTTTAATTTTGACTAGAAAAGCCTCAAAAGAAATAATTATGGCACATTGGAACTGACAAAGGCCAAATTGTCTATATGACAATATATCCCAACAAACACAATTTGGAATGTATGTTTTCCTCTTCAGTTGCACAGATGCTTGATACTGTTATTGGAATTAAACGATGAATCACATTAGATTGTGCTGTAACTACACAGATTATGGTGTGATTTAACGTAACTGAAAAGTAAACTGATCTGCAGATTAAGCGTGTTTATAAATGTCTGGCTTTCTTTTCCACATCTCATTCTGATCCTTGGCTGAGACCTCAGACGTCGACACTTCCCTTTCGGCTGCTGTTAGTGGTTTTTAAGCAAAATGCTGGTTGAAAGTTTCACACATTAATAGTATGCATTAGAACAAACACAAAACATCTCATTCACACACACACACACTCTTGTGATCTGGACACAACATGCTCAAATGGTGAAGGTTTTTTTTTGCATAGCTGGCCTCTGGTGCACACTGTAAAGTGATTTTTTTTTGTGAGTATTTTTTATCACATACATGTTCCCTGTAAAAACAACGTTCACATAATCCATTATAAGGTGCAGCTGTCAGGACATATAAATCATCATCATTGGATTGCTTGAAACCTGAAATTCTCACACACATTTAAACCTTTTTTGACCAATGTTGGATGCAACACATTAAATAAGCCAGGAGAGAAACCTTTTTTGACAAACTGAAAACTGACTGGGGATGTGTGATTGATTGACTGTACATGCTGGTAAAAATAAATACTAAAATGTAATGCTTTTACTTTATGAAGTGGCATAATTTAACCACAACATAAAGAAAAGTAGCATGATACTATGTTGAGGCTAAAGAAATGTAAGGGAAACATAAAGGTGCGTCTCATTTCTAACCAAAACAATTCTAATGATGGATCTGCAAAAAGCGGAGCTCTACAGCTTCTAGCTAACTGCTAGCATGACTTGGCAGCACTGCTCCAGTGCGGCACCAGTGAGGCCATGTATTAACCACGTTAGCAGTTCAGCAGATGGGTTTTCTGATGATAATGACGATGATGATGAAGATGACAAAAACTGGGGTGGTATAGGAGAGGTAATGAAATGACTGCAGGCTTTTAAGAGAGCGAAACACTCCATGCTAAGGCCCAATTCAGACAGTGCTATCCAGTGAATTTTATTTATTTTTTTATTTTTTTATATCTACTCCTTGATGACGAAAAAAGAGGTCAAACTAAAGTGCCAGAAATATAAATTACTATTTATAATCATCTGAATACACGTCTGAAAAGGGTCTGTGATGTATGTTAAATCAAACCAAGTCAATGAGTGAGATTCGTCAATAGTGGTGATGTTTTTCAAAATGCTCAGTGAACACACAACATGCTACACGACGCACACACTCTTGCTGGCCCACAGTTGAACTCACGCTTAGCTTGCAAGCATATTCACATTTTTAAAAGCTTACGAAACCCTGGAAAAGAACATTATTGTGACAAATCGGCAGTCGAACTTGGCCCGTCCCTCCAACCAATTTACCTTTCTTTCCTCCTCTTTGGCCAATTGCTGCTCCAGCTGCTGCAGCTGCTGGGTGGAGCTGGTGCACAGCTGGTTGTAGGTGGACGTCAGCTCGTCCAGCTGAGCCTCCACATGAGCGCACTCCTCTGGGGACAGCCTGGAGAGCACACAGGGGGGAGGTTAGAGCGTGTGGGATTTAGGTGTTTATTGTGTGACGATGTGAAGATTTCACACAGTATCTTTGACAAATATTTCATTATAAGGTCAACCATTTGAGTTTTTTCTAGAAACACAAATGTGTAGGAACTTTTCAGGAAGTGAAATCCTTGTAAAAGAAACTCTAGATAATCTGAAACCTACAATTTGGTTAAAAAAGGAAGCTAAAAAATACATTCCAGTCCATAAATATTACTGTAAACAACTTCATACTCCCCAGTTTCCCTTGATCCTTAATTTAAGTCCTAACATTTACCAAACTTGAATACAAATATCAAGGGTCTGACATCTTAATTCAGAATTTCCATGACAGGCAGCTAAATGAGCATGTACTGTTGGGATAGTTTGTGAGTGTCCATGTATTTTGCTAGATCGAAGGACACAGGGAATGTCAAACAGTATGTGAAGTGAATGAGGTGTCGGTGCAATGTGTGTGTCCATGTGTGTGATCCAAACTTACTTGCTGGCCTGTTTTGACAGCAGGAAGACCTGAGTGCTCCTTATGGCATCGGCCACTTCATCTTTCTTGGCTGCCAGCTGTTCACTGATGGCCTTCAGAAGAACACAAAGGCATGATGCACTTAGTACAAAACAACTTGGATCAACTGCCATTTTAACATGTAAGTAAAACAGCTAAATATATTGTATTAACAAGGAAACACTATCCTTTCAACTTATGTACTAAAAGGCTTTGTTGGATAATGAAGTCTGAAATTAAATGAATATAATGCGTAAATGATTGATTTCTTTAGTAAGGAGCGTTGTAATAACCAGGATAATGCCAGTCTTCATTGCAAAATGAACCCAGCAGGTGTCCTGCTCACCGTGCGGGGAACCATTATGCGTTGGCTCGCAAAAATGCTAATTGTCTGAAGAATAATGTGTATATTATATGATAACAAGAATATGATGATCAAATGAACAAGCTTATCGGTGTACCTGCTGAGCAGCAAGTGAGGACTCGGCGTTGGGGCCCCCAGTCCGTCCCTGGAGGCCCTTGACAAAGCCCAGCAGGTCGGAAACCTGCCCAACCCTCGCCTGCTTCTCCTCCTCCACCTCTTTCTGCTCAGAATAAAAACATTTACTTACAAGATAAATAATGGGGGAAAAAATTCCTGTCACTATTAAACAGAAATTATTGTTGTTTTAAAGCTTCAGTGATTTAATATGACAAAAAAGCAAGAGAGGGAGATATAGTGAAACAAAGTCCCACCTCTTCTTCTTCTATTCTTCTCAAAGCATCGCTGATGTACTTCACATGCTGCGTTGTCAAGGTGACCAAGGCTGTGTAGCGTGTGCGCAAGTCCATGAACTGCAGAGAAACATCCAGAAACAATTACAAGAGATCTGTGATGGACTGGATACGATTCATTGTCCTAATATTCAATAATGTAGCCATATCAATAATATCTAAACGTCCAGCCTCACCTCATGTGTGATGGCGTCAGATGAAGAGTGCATCCTCCTCCTCTTCACAGGGGATTTTTGTGTAGATTCTACAAAGGCTCTGTAGGTCATCAGCTGCAGCTCATAATCCTACGGACATGGTGGGACATGAGTCAGTAAAATAGTGGCTAGGCAACCATCATTTACTAGAGAAAGTTTAACAATGCTTCAAATATACAGTGGGGCAAAAAAGTATTTAGTCAGCCACCAATTGTGCAAGTTCTCCCACTTAAAAAGATGAGAGGCCTGTAATGTTCATCCTAGGTATACCTCAACTATGAGAGACAAAATGAGAAAGAAAAAAATCCAGAAAATCACATTGTCTGATTTTTAAAGAATTCATTTGCAAATTATGGTGGAAAATAAGTATTTGGTCAATAACAAAAGTTCATCTCAATACTTTGTTATATACCCTTTGTTGGCAATGACAGAGGTCAAACGTTTTCTGTAAGTCTTCACAAGGTTTTCACACACTGTTGCTGGTATTTTGGCCCATTCCTCCATGCAGATCTCCTCTAGAGCAGTGATGTTTTGGGGCTGTAGCTGGGCAACACAGACTTTCAACTCCCTCCAAAGATTTTCTATGGGGTTGAGATCTGGAGACTGGCTAGGCCACTCCAGGACCTTGAAATGCTTCTTACGAAGCCACTCCTTCGTTGCCCGGGCGGTGTGTTTGGGATCATTGTCATGCTGAAAGACCCAGCCACGTTTCATCTTCAATGCCCTTGCTGATGGAAGGAGGTTGTCACTCAAAATCTCACGATACATGGGCCCATTCATTATTTCCTTTACACGGATCAGTCGTCCTGGTCCCTTTGCAGAAAAACAGCCCCAAAGCATGATGTTTCCACCCCCATGTTTCACAGTAGGTATGGTGCTCTTTGGATGCAACTGAGCATTCTTTCTCCTCCAAACACGTCGAGTTGAGTTTTTAACAAAAAGTTCTATTTTGGTTTCATCCGACCATATGACATTCTCCTAATCCTCTTCTGGATCATCTAAATGCTCTCTAGCAAACTTCAGACGGGCCTGGACATGTACTGGCTTAAGCAGGGGGACACGTCTGGCACTGCAGGATTTGAGTCCTTGGCGGCGTAGTGTGTTACTGATGGTAGCCTTTGTTACTTTGGTCCCAGCTCTCTGCAGGTCATTGACTAGGTCCCCACGTGTGGTTCTGGGATCTTTGCTCACCGTTCTTGTGATCATTTTGACCCCACGGGGTGAGATCTTGCATGGAGCCCCAGATCGAGGGAGATTATCAGTGGTCTTGTATGTCTTCCATTTTCTAATAATTGCTCCCACAGTTGATTTCTTCACACCAAGCTGCTTACCTATTGCAGATTCAGTCTTCCCAGCCTGGTGCAGGTCTACAATTTTGTTTCTGGTGTCCTTTGACAGCTCTTTGGTCTTGGCCATAGTGGAGTTTGGAGTGTGACTGTTTGAGGTTGTGGACAGGTGTCTTTTATACTGATAACGAGTTCAAACAGATGATATTAATACAGTTAACAAGTGGAGGACAGAGGAGGCTCTTAAAGAAGAAGTTACAGGTCTGTGAGAGCCAGAAATCTTGTTTGTTTGTAGGTGACCAAATACTTATTTTCCTCCATAATTTGCAAATAAATTCTTTAAAAATCAGACAATGTGAGTTTCTGGATTTGTTCTTCTCATTCTGTCTCTCATAGTTGAGGTATACCTAGGATGAAAATTACAGACTTCTCATCTTTCCTTAAGTGGGAAGAACTTGCACGAAGTGGTGGCTGGACTGATACTTTTTTGCTCCACTTGTAAACTATAATGAAAATGTAATGATAGATGATAACAATAAACAACAGTCTAACAGCAGGGGTGCCCAACCTTTTTTTGAACCGAGAGCTACTTTTAAATGTTGCCAGTCTGCTAGAGCATCGACCAGTCTAAATAGAGAGGCGAGCCATTTACTGACAGCCTACTAACCAGGTAAAACACATTCTACTGTATAAAAACTGACCTTTTGGTAGACGATGAATACTTCATAAAATACTTGCAGTCCTTTTATCCTTACCTTCTTTCTAATCTACACACATACAAGCTACCTTAAATTAAGTATCACAACGCATGTGTTGAGCTACAGAGTTAAGTGTTATTTCACACGTCACATACACAGTTGAGTGACGGAATCGCTCCGGTTTTGTGGAGCACAATTAACATGGGATCACTGCCGTCATTGTAAGTACTCGTCCTCTCTGGAATACTTAACGTTCAGATTGAATACAAATCGACCCAATTTCTCCTATTAATGGCCGGGAGAGTTTTGAAAGTACAAAACACTGTTCCACACATTTAAACACTTAAACATATTAACACAATGTTTACCGCACGATTTCAAGCTCCTTGTCCTGGGTTATAAAGTGGATGAAGCAGCATTGTCCCTCTGGGTGGCAAGAGTCCTTTGCTGCGGGAGCTCTCCTGGGTGCGCTCTGTGGGTCTCGCCAGCCCCGCTCCTCTCTGGCTGTGCTCTGCCTCTATCACGCCGACTATTTCCCCAGGTTCAGAGACTTATTGCTGGTAGAAAAGCCATGTGCCACCCTGGATCTCTGCATGTGTGCCTGTGAAGATCTGAGACCCTACACAGTGACTCTGCTGTTTTACCTGCTTGTCCATTCCGTGAGTCAAATGTGACTAAATGGCAGATTTTTGTCATATCAGCGGCTGTTGAATTAAAACAGTTTAATGCACTTTTAACACTCCATGTACCCAGGATTCCAGCTCCCTTCCTGGGTAAAAAAGTGAGATGAAGGCTGCCTGTCCTCTGGGTGCCGCCTGTGGGGTCTTCGCAGCCGCTCCTCCTGGGGTGCTGGGAGCATTTTCCAGTGCTCCTCTCACAAAGTTGTCCCTCTAAAAAATGATTTTTAATCATTATTTTATTTTTTGCTTGAAATGATTTATGTTACATTAATATGTCTCTAACAGAATGCACATAGTCTGGAGCTTCACTCGGGTCCTCGCAATGTTTTTAATCAGGCGTTTTAAAAAAATGTCCATGAAAATTAATTTGTATTAACTATCAATCGAGGCTCTATATAAATCAAATTTCGGGTAATTGTGGAGCACAATTGTACCTTTAAGCTATTTCACATGTATTGATTATTAATATTTTGGGCTATAAAGTGAATTTTTGGGTGACTTTGTCAGTTTATGGAGCTTATCCCACAAATCCTGGAGTTTCTCAGGCCAAGATTTGGGAGCTCATAGGCGGCCCTGCATTCACGCCACCCGTGAGAAGAAGAAAAAATGAAAAAATGGTAAATTATAATCTAAATATCAAAAAATGAAGTTTTAAAAAAATGGTTGAAATTATTTCTAAGTGCCAACGGAGAAGGGCTCAACAAAGCTCAACCCTTCGGCCTTCGGGCCGAAGCCGGACACTTTTCCACTCCACAGTTCAACTTACAACGGAGAGGGAACCAAGCCTCCCCTACTCGTCAAAAAAATTCATTCATCATTTTCAGACTACCTGTCTGCACGATACGGAAACCCAGTTTATGAGAGGACTCAGAAAAAAAAACGGCTCGTCTCACTTCATGAAGGAATTCATCCGCTCCATGTGCCTCGGCTCGGATAATTTGTTGCCCGAGACCCCCCAGCATGGTTTCTGTACCAAACTTTACCATTTTTAACTGGTCCTCCCCTGGAGGAATGCGAGGGGGGTTGGGCAGGGGACTCTACCCGCATATGAGGGCACTATTTTCGGATACATTTTTAACACTTCTTAGCCCTTTTTTATGGTTCTCCAAAAAGTTCACTCAGACTTTTCTGAGCTGGAGGAATGCGAGGGGAGTTGGCAGGGAGTCTACCCGCATAATGAGGCACTATTGTTTGGATACTTTTTTCATTTTCACCCTTTTTCTATGGATCTCCAAAAAGTGGAACTTAGACTTTCTGAGTCCTGGAGGAATGCAAGGGGAGTCGACAGGGGACTCTAGCCACATTATGAGGTCCCTTATTTTCGATACTTTTTTTCATTTTCAACCCCTTTTCTATGGATAATTGAAATAATTGCCGGAGGATAGACCGAGAGGCTGAAAAAGGGCCTAAAACCCAGGAAGCAGAGTGCCACATCTGCTGGCTTGAGGAAGGAAGAATGTGATTACGATTCGAAGGGCTGGCAATCCAAGACTCCGGCATAAACACAGTAGCCTCCGGCAGCATACCCCGTCTCAAACCCGGTCAAGACTGTCATGCACTTCACCAGAAGCCCTCGGCAGCAATACCCCTCTCAAGACCCCCGGCCAAGACTGTCATGCGGTCCATCAGAGCCTCCGGTAGTGAGACCCCTCCCAAGACCCCGGGCAAAGACTGCTCCTGCCTTCACCAGCAGCCTCCGGCAGCAATAACCCCTCTCAGGACCGTCCAAGACTGTCATGCATTCACTCAGAAGCCTCCGGCAGCATACCCTCTCAGACGCCGGTCCAAGACTGTCATGCGGTCTCCAGAAGCCTCCAGTAGTGAAACCCCTCTCAAGACCGCCGGTCAGACCTGTCATGAATTCCCCAGATTATCCTCCGCAGCAATACCCGCCTCTCAAGACCCCTCGGTCCAAGACTGTCATGCGGTCCGTAAGAAGCCTCCGGTAATGGACGCCCTGTATGCCAGAAGACCTGGTGCGCCTGTCTACAATAGCTAAAAGCT